AATTTAATAACTCGATAAATATTGGTGTTTAAAGAATTTAAATGTTTAATACAATTTTAAAAAGTAATCCTCTATATGTGTGTTAATTTATTGTCGCGGTGGTAACGACACGCTGTATAGTTTTCATATCTGATACGATTTGTATCGCCCACTTCTATGTCTTCATAACGAATGACTTGCTGACGCTTCTAACCGCTTTATCAAGCTAATATCAACATTATTTATTGCCAGGTTAGTTGGAAGAGAACTCGTGCATTGAGTTAAGCTTACCTTTTGTACATTATTTTCATTTTCATATTCTGTCCGAATGTTGCGAGCATATAAATTTCAAGAGATTCCCGCCTCCCACGTCGTCCAACGGAGTTTTGTACGCAATCAACTTAGCAATGAATAAGTCCAGACGCATCCGTGCACTGAGGCGAACGGAAGCCGTGAGTCTAGAGGGCGCTGCCATCACCGGATCATTTCCGGAGCCCCTCTCTTTACGAATCCTGCCGCGTATAAAGCAGATGGAAGAGACAATTGTTTCTTTTCAACCGTCTTCAAAACAGGAGGAGTTTCTCAATTCGACTGCATTTTTTACGTTTGTTATCATACCATATTAATTTCGCTGGTATTGATTCTTGGGCTCCGGAGGTACTTAGGGAAACCTTGAAAATCAATTATAAAATGAATACCAAACGAAATATTTGAAGTCGGTTTTTGTTTTTCTTCAATAATAAAAGGACTTGTTATGTAAGAATATGGCAAGCGGGCTTGTGGTTCAATTGATGTTAAGCGATAAACTCCGCCCATTGACATATAAAACAACAGTAGCGTTTCAGACACATCTCCTAGTTAATACAGTGGGCCCCGGTTTCCTCACTCACTAGACGAAATGAAGAAATAAACCACTTCCAATTTACGGTCCTCCCCGGACGGACCTGCCAACTCGTGAAATAGTGAAAACTTTTGCGTGGCGCTACTACAAGCAGAAGTTTAAGTATTTTACTCATCATGCAATAGCAATTAGAAATAAATAAATATTTTAGGACACATTTTTACAATATTTTTCCAGTAGTGGGGATCAAACCCACACCCTCTGGCGTACGAGGCAGATACACTAACCAATAAGCGATATGGGTCGTCAAAAATTTAGGCGATAATTAGGTTATAAATATTTAGTTCTGGTATCACACACGAAAACACAGTAACTATTATGTAAAATGAAACTGTTCTACAGAATTTATTGCGTTTAATTTTGATATATTTATCTAAAGATCATTTTACGTTTCATAGGGTAAGTGAGGTATACGGGGCCCAGTTCTTACTATTTGCGAGTGAATCCCTAACCCCCGGCGGTGTTGTTGTCTATGGGTGGCGGAAAAAAATCACAAGCCTACCTACACATTATTCCAAAAAATCACAACTTAGAACAACTATATGCTGATGAACGAGAAAAAGATTGACACATCAAGAGAATTTATTTCTCGGCCATGACATTGACGGTCTAAAGTCCCCGACTTATTATGAAGAGCAAATTTCATTTCGACGTGGAAATGGTACTGTGAAATGGAAGGCGTTAGCTTTCACTTATTTCGTCGTCTACATCGAGCCTAGAAATTACGAGAGAACGTTCAATATTATAGCGTCTACGAACTGAAGTTAATTAAATAACAATGTTATTGCTTCTAAATTCAATACAATCAATCAATTACTATCAATCATCAATCCACATAAACATGTTTATGAAGTTTAATTTTTGCCCCACAATTAGAATTATTTTTTTCATTTAAAATTTTTTATTATAATCAACCACTACGTGGCATGGTGCCAAGAAGCCATTTTTCACTGAATGACCCTATGATCGCTAGCCGCATAATATTGCGGCTATAGAAATCATTATTTATTGAGCGAATACAGCAAATGGCACAAATGGATAATGTACACAAAACATCCTCTGTGCCGCCTTGAGCTTGACCGCAATACCTAGATGAGGTGCCACCAATGTGTCTTTTTTATGTGAAAAGTTGCCAAGCGAGCAGACGGTTCACCTGATGATAAGTGTATACCGCCGCCCATGGACATCTGCTACAATCGAGTGTACCAGATGCGTTGACAACCTTACTCAGAAAAAACAAATGACAAAAGATAATGATTTGTTAAATACCTACATAACATATTTAAGTAAAACTAAATATTTTGAGAATACAGCTTAATAAAGTTAGTTTACGAACACAACACAGTAACACATGAAATTCTTCAGTCGTACAACTGACCACGAATGTTTTAAAGAGTAGGAAGCATCAGAAGGCTAAATAAACCGCGATAAAATCCGTAAAGAAAGCAGAGATGACAAATAAACGAGGACAGTTGGCAGAAAACGTCGATGCAATGACAAACAGTTGAATCATGTCACATGGGACAGGGAAGTGATTGACGAGCATGGAGCATGGAGTTGTCAAGACCATTAATCTTATATTTATGGCATCTTAAACATAACTATTTTCTACGCGGAGATACATGCCGCACCGTTCTCCGATTAGTCGAAGAAATGATTTCCTCTTTTTGGCATGAAGCCATCAGTCCCAAAGGAAATTCTGTTGAAACTAACGAAAAGCTACTTCGCGTGTGCATTAGGATAAGTTTTCGTTAGCTTCAGTTATTCCCAGTCGTTTTTTACTTGAACCTTACTTATTTTGCACGTGCAGTCCATGTCGCTTGGGAGATTAAAATTAAAATAGAGTACGTACCAATTTATTATTAACAGGGATCGGTTAACACATTACTTAATTAAAACATTGAATTTTGATCACTTCGATCCTAAATCATCGAAAATCAAATGAATTATTTTTATTCCCAAATTTTTGCGTTACTTTACATTGAACAGTAATTTATGGTGGCTATAATTATAATTTAAAGAGACAATTGTTAACGACGTATGATTATAGCAATAAAAAACTATTACGGTTATTATATCTTGAGGTCTATTTCTCCAAAAGTTTGTTTCTTTCCTGCTATTTTCCAAACGCTAATCTTAAAGTCGTCAGAAATGTAAATGGGGCGACATTGCGAGCGGTTGCCTTAAATATCTCCGCAAAGGACGTAATCTCAACCTTAATAGAATTGATAGAAGTATCGCGAACAAACCGTTCGCAAGTTAGCAAGGAAATTGCTTTGGGCTACGACGTGAGAGTTAACGAATTAATGTTCGTCTTTCCTTGCTTGTACGCCTTAGGTAGTGCCGTTAAGGATTAAGTTTGCATTCAACTAAGCCGGATCGTTGCAGTTTACGCTAATTTAGAGGCCCATTAATGAGTAGTGGTGTACGTTTAATCCAGCCCGCCTAGTTATGAACACCGCAAGGGGAACTGTACGGCACCATAGCTCCTTGTTTAGGCAAAGCTCCCAGGAAGAAGCGAGAATTATAATGCGAGAAAAATTTGCGAGAATCTTTCAAGGATTGCTTCTTACACGACAAGTAGAGCTACGTTTCACTTGTTGACCATAAACAGTGAGTCAGGATAGAATTTCAATCGCATTTTAATTTTTACAATCATGAATTTAGCCTCTAAACTCTTTGGGAAGTGGTGATGGATCTAAACTGTACACAGTATATATATTTGTAATCGATTGTGTATTTATTCATGATCAAACTGACGTTCAGTGTTCGTAGGTGACTTTGTTATGGCTATCGATGGCCATATAAAATTTTCATACTTATTCAGAGACAACAATTTCTCCAGATTGCTCAGTCACTGATCTTTAACATTCTATTATTTTTTAAAAAAGTCTATATGACTTTTTGAAGACATATCTCGAAGTTTGCCTTAGAAGACCTAAGAGTTGGTGCGACGTTTTTACCGACTCCGGCTAATATTGCTATATCAACTCAATCTGAACGTTGTGAAATAAAAAATAAACTGGCCAAGTGTGAGTCAGTCCATTATCATGTCTGTTGTAAAGGAGCCTCACTTTTTATATTTTTATTCTGTTTTCCAGTATTTGTTGTCATAGCGGCAACAGAAATACATCATCTGTGAAAATTTAAACTGTCTACTATCACGGTTCATGACTGACAGGTGACAGACGGACAGACGGGATGATTATGAGACTTTTTAAGGGTTCCGTTATACCCCTTGGGTACGGAACCCTTAAAAATTCTCATAAAAGAAGAAATTAATCTGATCGGTTAATATTCGTTCTTGAAGGTTACAATAACATCCCGAATATTATACAGTCATTACATATTTCGTTATACACATTGTTTATGGTGCTTAGATCTAGGTATGTGTTTGTAAATACTTAAAAATTCTCCATCACTCACACACCGCCCATGAAGCGTCACTAGGATTTTTTTACTTTGAAAATGTTTACAGCATTCATGGTCACGAACTCGACTGGTTTTTAAAGGGAAAATAAACCGATAAATTCGTAAATTAGTTTTATTACAAATCCTTGTGTTGCGGGAAGTCGATGGATGCAGGACGTTTAGGATCGTGCTTGTGGCAGTATGTAGAAGAGGCCTACGTTCATCAGTGGACTGAACAGGATAAAATTATAATGATGAACATGAAAATACGTAAATTTGTGTTATTAAAATTTATAATACTCGTATTAATAATAGAAGCAATTTGAGGTTAATTTCAAAACGCTTCTGAAACCGCAGAGCTCACCCAGAACGGGTTCAAGCTACCTAACTGACCTGTTGAAATGCAGATGTAATAAACTAGCGACCCGCCCCGGCTTCGCACGGGTGAAATGCTGATACTAAATATACTAAACTATGTTTCTCTACTATATTATGCATGTATTATACATATAACCTTCCTCTTGAATCACTCTTTCTATTAAAAACACGCATCAAGATACGTTACGCAGTTTTAAAGATGAGCATACATAAGGACAAACAAACAGCGGGACGACTATTCTATGTAGTGATGCCTTCATTTCGCGTTGGCCCTCCATTTCCCGGACCGAGCCCTCAATGAGAACGATCTCTTATAAAGTATTGTTTATTACATAGACAAATCATCGATTTCTATGTCTTCGTCGAATTCGCACTCCTTCCTCCACGTCTTCTCGTCCAGGGTGTACGGCGCGGTGATCTCCCGGAACTCGTCGATGTCGCAGAGTTCCGTTCCGCACCCTTCCACTTTCAAGTACTGGACCGGTTGACCGGGTGAACTGGCGTACAGCGGCTAGAAGTGTTCAACCTTATAAGTCCCACTTTTGAAGAGCATGAAACATTTTGTATGGGGGGGGGCTTTGTACTAAGTCCCAACGACCACTGCAACCCAGAGTCAGGGCCGGATTTTGAGGCCTTGGGGCCCCAAATTAATTTCCAAATAAAATGATCAATTTTTTTCAGTCGAGTTTTCCAACAAATAATTTATTGTGAAACCAAGTATAGATTCTCTTATTATTTAACGATCATATAAATATAATCGGAAACAAGAATTATCTAAAATTAAATTTTAGCTACTAGTTGGGTCTCCTAAATCCGGCCCTGCCTAGAATTGTATCCCCAATTATTCCAGTATTCTGAAGTATTCACCATATACCAGTATTCCGTTTTGAGAACTTTTTCAATGTGGTGTTTCACGTAAAGATTGAAGAAAGTCGACATGAAATAATGAACGTATATTAAACTTAGATTGTCATACTGAGTAATAATAATTTTAAACAGAATTTTTGTAAAATATATTTGCCGATTGCTAAAGTGGAAATGCGGTGAAATGTACACCTTTTGAGTTATCACTCTAAAAGCCAATAAAGTGAGATAAGAAGTGAGTAAGCAGTCTAAACGACACCAAACGGCTTGACATTGCCAAAAAGAGTATTTTCTGTGAAAATTTATGATTTTATTACATTTTGTATGTATTAAATGTTTGTGGAGGCATAAAGAGAAGTCATTCGATCTGTTACGGCGTCCTCTAGCGCTTTATTTTATAGTCTAACTAGCGACACGCCCCGGCTTTGCACCAGTGCAATGTATTATACATATAAACCTTCCTCTTGAATCACTCTATCTAGTAAAAAAACCGCATCGAGATCCATTGCGTAGTTTTAAAGATCTAAGCATACATAGGGACAGACAGACAGCGGGACGACTTTGTTTTATACTATGTAGTGATCTAGTATGAAAAATTGAATAAAAAAAGTTTGCAATATATTATTGAAAATAAAGAAATATTTCAGGACATCAAACAGACAGGACAAAAAGTTATCTAGTCCCAAACTAAGCAAAGCTTGTGGGTACAACTACGTACCAGGACCACATATTTTCCGGTTTCGACGACCCTCCTCAGTTCCAGTGCGAAGACTGCATTATAATATGGCACTCCCTGCTTCGGTCTCACTTTGGCGGCAGACATCCAGTAGTAGACGGTGACGTCATGCGCCGAGTATACCCTCAACTTCTGTGCATCGTTCCCAGCCATGACAGCGGAGCTTTTCTCATAGAATTCATTGAGAAATGGACCTGTGAATTTTCAAGAAACTTAATTTATCTACAAACGCTGGTGTTATGTCACCTGCACTGGTACATTGTTTGTTTAAATTTAAATGGATGGTGTCTCATCATAATTTCAACCAGTTAGAGTCCACCGCTGAACAAAGGCCTCCGCCACAGATTGCCACAAAGCACCTGATCATGAGCCACCTGATTGCCACAAAGCACCTGATCCTGGGCCACCTGCAACCATCGACTTCCGACGCTTTTTCACAGTTCGTCACTCCATTGGGGTCTTCCTACACTGTGATGGTCAGAACGAGGCGGCCACTCGAGGATTTTTCTTGCGTGGTGTTGCCGTTAGAGTAAGCCACCCCATCTCATCCGTAATAGCCGACTAAGGGATAAGCCAGAGCCGTCTCGTAGCCTCATGGTGCTATAACCATCGACTATCCAGAGCTTTGTATCCAGGACAATAACGGGCAGCAGCGTTAAAGGTGCGAGGTGTCTGGAACAACTGCGGTGGCCAGGCGTGACAACTATGTCAAATCTTAATTCATCTTCTTTATAAATAAATCCTATTCATCTGACGTAATTAATAACAACGGTAAGAACAAATAACCCTAATGTGAATACTGTGGTAGGGCCACGCAACAGATTTCACTGTTGCACGAATGGGCAGGTCTGCTCGGGTAAGTACTATAACCTCACAGAAGACCAGCGTAAAGTAGAAGTGTTTCACTTCTGCGCTTCGTCTGGCGAGTGAGGTAGTCGGCGTTGCAAATAACAATAATAAACTTAATATATTTATATGTTTATTTTTTATCTATAAACCCAACCAAACGAGAAAACAGATAAATATCTCCAAAACTTAATAATAAACGCAAACGCGTTGCCACTTTATTTAAAAGTTGCAACGCATTTGCAACCCTACGGGTAAATGTCCATGGGTGATGGTTATTACTTAACATCAGGTAAAACGCCAGATCGTTTGCCACTTTTCCACAAAATAAAAATAAGTTGTTAATCTTAAAATTACCAGCCTGCAAAGCCAAATAGTCTTCACGTCCAAACAGCACATCCATAGCCTTTCCTGCTGCATCCTTCACGATCGTCCAAGCTTCTCTTACTTCAGGCCGAACAGAAATACCAAGGCTAGCCTGTGTGCAAAACCCCCTCTATTTAAAATAGTGGCTTTCAACAATACCTATTTTCTTATTGAATTAACAATTCATCCTCCCTTCCAGGTAGGGTCGGCACAAAATGTGAATCATGTTGTAAGCCGTTTTGGTTATGTTTTTTACGACCGGAACTGTTATCAGTGGATCCACACAAATACTTGACCCAATAGCTTAGCAACAGCGCCACCAAGTCATCGGTCATTAGTCATAAATTATTATTGAATTGAAAATTGATTGTCTAAATTGAGTACGGACCGATTGATTGATTGATTGAAAAATTATTTACTGTAGCAAAAGTTTTTATAACGGCGAACTTAATGTTAAATAGCATTTTCTTCCAGTTAACCTTTGGTGATTGAGAGCAAATTACGGGAAGTAACGCTAAAGTGACATACAAGATTTTAAATGTCAATCACAAAGAATATGGGAAAACTAAATACCTACTTGATATAGATGTCACTTATAATTAACTAACAATAATTGAGTGGATAGTGAACCTGTCTTTAACGTTATAGGGTGTAGTTTTGATTCTCGCTACTGGAAAAATAGTGCGTGATTAACATAGTGTTTAGTGACAAGTTTCCTGAATTATGCATTGATTTATTGTAAAGAAGCACTTGATTACCTGGCTACAGTAAAGGTCATAAATATGGTACATCAGAAGAGGGGTCTCCTTCAATGCCGACTCATTTTGCCAAAGAGCCGGAAGAGATGTCTGTAAGGATCCATCTGGGAGGAATTTGACGCCATCCTGCTTTTGTAGGCATCCGCTAGGACTGGGCAGTTAAAGATTGCAAGGTTCTGCAAAATGCGAGACAAAAAAACGTACTGCAATGATTTGACTGAATTACTATTGGCTTACTCGTCCGTACTCGAGTGTCGTACTAACTTGTTTGATGATATACTAATAGTACAAATAAAGATTTATAATAACTGAAATCTTATATGAAGTACGTAATCGATTCCCATCATAACATTCTAAAAATATTGCATGGGCGACCTGTATAACCTTATCGGATAATGAATGTAATCATTATATTGAATTTTCCAACTGCTATCAAACCTTCACTTTGTTCTTATCTAGGAACAGATAAGTCATCCATTTTTAAGAAATTGATAGCACAATCCCACGTCACGGGCTGATTCATACTGAGAAATAGTACTTACGTAGTCATATTTTGCCGGTAAGGTTGTATATGGTACGGGCACCCAGTTTATGTCTTTACTCCAATTGTCACCATCGGGTGGGAACACAGCAGCCATTGAAGCTAGGGCTGTCATCTTCGCGCGCGTAGAATCAGTTGAGCGCAAATAGAGTTCGGAGGAGTTGTATTCCTTCGACAACAGTTCATCGTACCTCTCACGGATGAATTTCCCCATATCGTAGCTCCGACGTTTCCGACCTGTCGAATAGGAAATTTGATTTATGAAAGAAATTCATTAGAATTCATTTGAAAACATCTGTAGAGACTCTTATAGTTGGTACGCAACGTGTATTTCTGTGTTTGTTGTATCAAACTTTTACTGACCTATTTTGGTGTCGGTGTTTGGTTGGTGTTTTGGTGTCGGGAAATATACCGTCTTCTGGGGGAAGACTGGGTAAAATATATTAGGGTTTTACCTACTTATATCTCCTTCACTCCCTCACTGATTTGCAGCTATATGACACCGTTTCGTCCTGCTGCTTATAACGGTTTCACCTAAGCGGATGACTAGGGACATACCGATTTCACTTGAACCTAACTAACTAAAAGGGGACACTGCCTTTTAATTGACTTTTTAACTGACATTTTGTAACGGCAGCAGATTATAGAAAAGGCCTTACCCTTTTCTATCACATAAGAACTACAAATCTGAAGATATTACTGATCTAGTTAAGTCTTAAAGTATTAATCACTATTTATAATCGAAGTGGATTGTTACCTAGCAAAGTATTGTTATTAAATAATCTCAAGATGTACTGGTAAATAGTGTAAAGCTAATTTGTATGTATAACGATGTATTTTTTTAAGTTAAATTAGTTTCTATAATCAGACTTACGTTTGTTAGTTGTCCATATCCATATGGCTTTGTTAGATCCTCCAATTCTTCTTGATTGTCACTATACTTTATGGAAGATTCAACAGGGGTTCTGTCTCCATGTCGGTGTACCTTTGTATAAATTTGTAGTGTTTAAATGCAAATTGATTTGATAGAAATAGAATGCAAGAGCTATCTTATAATTAATCAATATTTATCAAATACCTTTTTCTTAATTTATGCACTTTTGTGATAGTTTATGCACTTGATAATTGGAAATACTTTGGACTTTAATAAACATTATTATTATAAGTGAGACCGTACTCCCAATTACTGACACTGTACGATAGTAAGTACTAAGACTACATAAGATAGTAGGTACAAAAGATGTATGTGAGTACAATAAAGGCTAACTTGGGCACAGATAAAATGCTATCTAAGTGCAAACACTCTCATATCTTTCAATTGACCATGTTGACGTTGCTATCTGCCGTCCTCAAGATTATGTGCGTAGAGAAAGTCTCGAGATTGTGCTACTTTGTCTCGTCAAGTGTTAAAACTATGAGAGTTTAATATAAAATTTAATTACTTTAATTTTACTGTGTTAGGGCCACGCAACGGTCTTCTTTGTTAAATAAATGGGCAGATCCGTGCGGGTAAGTACCACGACCTCACAGAAGACCGGGGTGAAGTGGAAGTGTTATACTTCTGCGTCTTTTCTGGTGAGTGAGGTAGCCGGGGCCCATTTTTAAAAAGATGGCTACGCATCTGCAACCCAACCAGTGTTGCAAATGTATAATTCACCTGTTAAGTAATAACTACCGCCCATTGAGGGCGGCAGTTATCACTTAACAGGTGAACCGCCAGCTCGTTTGTCATCTTCTCACATAAAAACAAATAAATAATTAAAAATTAACTTTTAAAATATTTTCTTTTAACAAGACCCACGAAAGAAGTTACATTTCGAAAAGTTTTAGAGTGAAAATATCATTCAGGAGTAAGAAGATGAAAGAAAGACAGAGATATATGTGTGGAGAATAGGTACAAAAACGCGGAAAAAAGGAAATTAATAAGCCTCGTTCTGTAATATACAGTAGAGTAGTAAAATAGGCGTTTTAATCCCAACATTTTCATAATATTGACGCCGATCACTGTAAAAGATAGACACGCATTAAAGTTTGCAATTTACCACAATTTTTTTAAACCTTTGCGTTTCAAATATATACTAATACATATTCCAAAATAAATCTACTAAATATATCTACTTTTGATTATCAAGATAAAAGGCCACTTTCACTGTTACGATTGATAGTAAAAGGATCAGTTAGACACTCACCAAAAATGCGAGTTTTAGTTCTGTCCCATCTGTCAAATGATGCAACGTTTCCGATTGAACGAAGGGAAAACATAACACTGCATTAGTAACGAACCACGCTAAACGCACCATGGTGCGTCCAAATCTTTTGATCTCGATTGTTGTGCATAACTTCTTATATAGGCTTCACTTATCGGATTCTTTACAATTCGACTCGCTGGGCGTATCGACGGGCCAAGTTATACTGGTCGTTAAACAGTAGTACAAGGTCTGTTTGCTTTTTTTTGGATTACTATTTAATTTGCAATTAACGTCTTTTTAATTTGTAATAAATGTATTCTTATTGAAATCATATACAGGTTTTTACGATGTTGATATACGATGTTGTTTCGTGTAGGTATAGGCGAAATTGGTGCTTAAAGGAACACACACCATTTATAATTTAATTAATAACTAAGAAAACATTGTGCCTTGGAAACGTTTCATATTTTGTTTTATTGCAGATTATTTTCCACTGAATACCACGAGGGTTGTAGATGCGTTGAAGATTTTATGTTATGTCTATTCTGCAAAACATTGGTACTGATTCTAGGCAATGACGCTAAAACAATTAATAGAATTGCACTGGTGAACAGAGAACCATCAAGATGGCAGAAAAGGTGTTGAGTTTAGGTCGCAATCTATTCTTCAGGGGAATTCAGGGGATTAAACACAGGGGGTTAAACTCGACGGCGTGAAGCATGGCTGAAAATACGAAAATGCAGTTAAAATTAAGTAGATAAGATAAGTCTCGTATCAGTCTGTACTCGAACAGTGAACCGTACGCACTCAACTCACCAACTAGCCTGCTCCCGCGCTCAGTGCAAGTGACGTACATAGTTACAAGCGGTTCTCAAACTGTAACATTTAACAACCTTTAAAAATGTTTTATTGTAAGCGTTGTGATGGGGAATTTCGTGACGGAGTCCAGTGCACAGTGTATCGGAATTACTTCGACTTCCCTTGCGCTGGAATAACTGAATCAGGATACCGAAAACTTGGTGACTGAAAAAAAATATCTGGAAATGTGCCAACTGTAAAAGCGCCGCATCGGCAAGTCCTTCGCATTCGGGTTCCAGTGAGGTATCCACGGCAAAGTCATCACCATCACTGGACCTAGAGCATGTCATGGGTGAGCTCAAACTGTTAACTGCTCAAACAGCATCTATTCCTAAATTAGTTGACAGCATAAAAAACGTACAAGCAGAGCTTGCAGATCTTAAGATCTTAAAAACTGAGCTGTCGGAAGTAAAAAGTGCTGTTGATTTTAGTTGTAGAAAAGTTGTTTGATACGGAGGTTGGATACGTTATTGAAAAAAATTTCTGACATCGATACGGAGCTTGCAACCTATTAACGAGTGAGCAAGAAGAAGTTCATAACTTGCCGTGAAAGTGAACAGAGTTGGCGTTCTTGAACCGTGATTATTATATTTATTTATAGGTCCAGAATGAACATTATTATTATATATATTATTTAAATATTATATATTTCATATTGTTGCAAAGATCGGTGAGCACATTAACTGCCTTGTGCCTAAAGAGCAAATTAACTATGCGGCCCGGATACCTATGCGTAACAAGAAGACATGCGTAAATAAGACAATTATTGTCTCGCTCCATAATAGATACTTAAAAGAAGAGTTTGTCGCCGCAGCAAGAAAATGTAACATCGTTCCAGCGGACCTGAATCTTCGAGGGGACGCTAGAATATACGTCAATGACCATCTCACGTTGGATAACAAAATCTTGCTTAATAAAGCGAAGAGCCTAGCCAAGGAAAACGGGTTTGCTTTTGTTTGGGTAAAAAGTAGCGAAATATTTGTGAGATAAAACACCACACACATTCTGAATATAAAGTCAGAATCGGACTTAAAAAAGCTTTCATAAATGTGCTGACCATATTAATTAAGGCTTCACCTCTTACAAATATTTCGCATACTCAGAGTTGTCATCAAAGTTTGAGAAACTGCTTGACAATTATTCTGTTTGTTGAGCTTATCGCTATGCGCAAAATTACGTGCTTATTATTTCGGGTAGTTCGGCCGACCATTTGCTTTAATTGCCTATTGCTAATACTTATTGCGTTCGTTATTAATTTTATAATTTTTTTATCATATTTTTCTGCGGTTATACTATTCTTATTGAGCAAACTAAATATTATCTATTACTTTATTTTAATTTTAACTTATTCTCTTAACAATAGTGTTTTTTATCTTATATACTTCTCCACATCTATGCATTGCTAATAAAAACACGTTATGAAAATGGAAGTCCTTAAAATCTATTATCAAAACGTACGCGGCTTGCGAACGTAAACTTCTGCTTTCTATAGAGGCACTAGTATGAATAATTACGATATCATTTGCTTGACTGAAACATGGTTAATAGAGAGCATAAACGATAAGGAATTGTTCGATGATAGGTACATAGTTTGGAGACGGGATAGGGATTACTTGAAGACCAAACAATCTATGGGAGGGGGCGTTCTAATAGTTAGTTGTTAGACGTGAATTCGTTGTCACAGCTCGCAAGGAATGGTGCTCGAATGCAGACGATTTGTGGCTGACATTGACACTTCAAAACCTAAAGTTACATATAAACTACACCTTTGTACAGTATACATATGTACTCAAAATGAAGGTAATTCTTTGTCAACTCAATTAACAGTCTTTTCTGAACAGTTATCAAATATTATTTTATGTAACCCGAGCGATAAATTTATAGTTATAGGCGACTTCAACATGCCTAACGTAGACTGGGTTATCGGTGATGATGGCATTCACTATACTGCTACAAACATGCAAGGCCCCGTCCAAAATGATCTAATTGATAAATTTAATGTATGTAACTTATTGCAATATAATAATATTCGTAATCACAACTAGAAAATTTTAGATCTAGTATTATCTAATAATGAAATATCGGTCACTCGTTGCCTATCTCCTACTATCTCGGAAGACCCTCACCATCCAGCTATTTGTGCAAATGCGGACTTTCTTTACCTGCATACCCTAAAGTGCCGTCCCCTCACTAAATACCTGTATACTCTAGGTGATTATGATGGGATTAACTTAAAAATAAATAGAATAGATTGGTATCACGAAATTCACAGTCGACCGTTCGAAGAAGCAATAACTTTCTTTTACAGTGTGCTATATGACTTGCGCAATACTCTCATTCCCTCTAAGGTAGTGACTCCGACCCAGAAATACACTCCATGGTTTAAAACACCTTTAATAAAATTTTTGAAGGAAAAACATAAATTTCACTCGAAATACAAGGCTTACGGCAATCGTTCTGACTTTAAATCATTTTGTACATTAAGAGACCGGGCCAAATATTTAGAACGAGATTATTTTAAGGAGTACATCTCAAATATGGAGAAAAATATAAAAAGTAATCCAAAAGGATTTTGGTCATACATACGGTTAAAGAATACCGTGAAATCATACCCTGCTCATCAGTTCTGGAGAAGACATATGCAACTTATTTAGTGAGTATTTTCATTCTACTTTCACCCACAGCACGTGCTGCAATGACTCTAATATTAAAGAAATTTCTCCCTCAGTGTACGATATAGGAGACATCGAAATAAATAAGTCCGAAGTGCGCAAAATGTTGGAAGGGCTCGATTTAAATAAGTCTGCAGGTCCTGACAATATTCCAGCGTTTTTTATCACTCGGTGTGCAAATAGTCTAACGACTCCTCTGACTTATCTATTTATACGTTCTCTGAACGAATGTGTCGTTCCCGCTATTTGGAAGTCGGCGTACCGCACACCAATTCGCAAAAGAGGACCAAAAGATATTGTCGATAATTTTAGGCCTATCTCCAAGCTGTGTCTGTTTGCGAAAATTTTTGAAAGAGTTGTCTACAAACAATTATATGAAACCCTGAAGCACGCACTTAGTCTTGAGCAACATGGATTTTTAAAAGGTAGATCTACTACATCTAACCTTATTGTTAGCAGCGACTACATCTCAAAGCATATGGATCTTCCATCGCAAGTCGATGCAGTTTATACTGACTACAGAAAATGTTTTGATTGAATCGATCATTTGATTCTACTGCGTAAACTACAATTTATTGGTATAAGAGGCAACTTGTACAGATGGTTTTCTTCTTATGTGCAAAATAGGTGTCAAACCGTCATACTTAATGGTTTATTTATTTATTTATTTAAACTTTTTGCACAAACATTGGTGTACAAAGGCGGACTTAATGCCATCAGCATTATCTCCCAGTCAACCTTGGGGTGGTCCAGAAAAGTTAGGGTAGGTGCATTTATAACAAATTTACAACAACAGAAAAAAAAAAGCAATCAAAAGATTTTCGAATATGTACATTACATATGAAATCTACCAACAATATAAAATAAAGTAAACATATTAATGCACGATACATACACACATACATAATATAAGATATACATACTTACATACTCATATTTTATATATAAATAAATATAATATATACATACTTTATATTATATTTAACGATTCAGAGAATCTGCTGACAGTTTTTTAAGGAAATGCTCGCGAGTTTTCCTTTTAAATGCGGAGCGACTTTTAGCAGTCTTGATTTTGCGAGGCAGCGCGTTCCACAAAATAATGGACTGAACAAAGAAAGACGAGTGCATGAAACCAGTACGATGAGAAGGACATTGGAGAATATGGTTATGTGTCGAGCGAAGATTTTTATGATGGATTGTACTAAGATATTGAAAATGAGGCGATAAATAAGATGGAGTAGAAGAAGAATTTATAAAAGAATAAAGAGTAGTTAGTGCTCTTAAGGAGCGGCGTTGGCGAATGGGTAACCACTGAAGTTGGGAACGATAGTGAGACACATGGTCATACTTACGAAGATTGAAAATGAATCGAATGCAGTTATTCAGAAGACGGTCTAGTTTATTGAGGTGATCTGCATTCAGGTCAAAGTAGCACACATCGCCATAGTCGATTAAAGGAAGGATTAAGGACTGCACGAGCGTAGCTTTAGTTTTAGATGGTAAAAAATGTTTAAGTCTGTATAGGCAACGTAGAACACTTGTGACCCTCTGACTGACACTGGCGATTTGGTCTTTCCAGCT